CACCCCATTCCTTGGAAAAATTCTTTGTGCTACAAAGTCAAATCTCTCTAAAACTAAATATTTGACTGAGGCCGGGGCCGGGTTAGTGACCGGTGCTGCATAAATATTTATACACCCTAAAATATTTTTTTTATTCAAAATTCATGTTATATTTTGTAATATATGTATATATAAACATCATTATGATCAAAATGATCATTATAATCATCATCATCATCATGATCATCATCATTATCATGATCATTATCATCATGATCATCATGATCATCATCATCAAAAGCATAAAAGAGGAAGGCCAAAGCCTGATGATGATGATGATCATCATCATTATTATCATCATCGTCATCATCATCATCATCATCATCAGGCTTTAGCCTTTCTCTTTCATAATGTTTCTCCAATATAAACAATCTAGAGCATTTTTTTTTGCTAACTAAAGCTTATTCATACAATATTTAAGGCACTATTTTCAAATTTTATAATTCTACCACTACCATTTTCTAATGAAGCTACTACCTCTCTACATGCTGATACCTAAATTACTTTAATCTTTTCTAACAAAAGTTTTTTCTAATCTATTTAAGATTATGTCTCTTTTTCTTGTCATGCTAGAGTCACACTACACTTCTATCAGATCATCTTCTCCTTCGGCAAATACTACACCCATATAAATACTAAAGTTTCTACAACAATAAAATGATATTGTATGCCAGCATCTAAATAAATAGCAAACATATATATTTATATCCATAATATGCATGCATAAATTACATCTTAAAAGCTTTTATTCCTAAAAATTTGAACGCTTTTACTACTTCTACTCAATTTTAAGTCGAGCCTCATTTTACTCCACATTTTTCAACATTAATCATTTTTTCCCTCGTTTTTACAAAGAGATCTCTTATAAGAATACATGACCTTTTATTACTGCAAGAAGCCGTTTTAAAAAAGTTCTGTCTAATTTTAAGCTCTGTTATTCTCAGTTTACTAAATCTTGTACCTTATCTCAGATGTTAGGTTCTAAATATTTTTGGTTAGCCTTCAACAATGTCATTAACTAAAGTAAGTCTATCATTTAATGTCTAATTCATTGGTCTGATCTTTTTACTTCTCCCCAAAATAAAGTAGAGTTATTTGCAAAGAAATTTTACTCTATTTGACCTTTGAATATAATGGCCACTCTTCCTGACAGTTCTACAGATTAACCCATTGTTAAACATCAAAATTACTCTGGCTTCCAATACTAAAAGTATTGAAATTTTTCAAAACTCTAAAAAACTTTTTGGACTCTCCAACTATCCTACCATTATCTTCACTTTGTTATTAGTTTCTTGTTATAAAGGTTTTGAGGTTATTAAACTGTTTCTTTCTAACTGCAGTAGTAAAGTTATTCTTGAAGCCCTACCCTCTTCTTTACTTCAAGTAACTTTAAGGATACTACAAGGTTCTATCGTTGCTCCTGTATTATTTCTTATCTACAATAACGGTCTTCATGAAATCTAAAGTAGCTCTATTTGCTGACGACTCAACTTTATACTCTTGTCTTGACAAAAAATCTTCACTTTTTAATTGCTTAGAAAAAGCAGCCAATTTTAAATCTGATCTCTCTTCTGTAATAGCCTAAGGCTTGTTAGAAAACAAAACTCATTAATATACTGTAAAAAAATATTGCAATATTGTTAGCATTCCTTTATTGACAAATAACAACCCTCTTACTCTCAGACAAAGTCTAAAAACACGATGTAAATGTAATTAGACCAGCTTTATCTGCCAAGCTCGAGCCACTCTCCCATTGTTGTAAGGTTGCCTTTCTTTCTTTTTTCTACAAATACAATCATGGTCAATGCTCAAACAAGCAATCATCTCTATAACGATAAACCAAAACTTATTCTTGCTGGGCTATTTATTCAACAAGTTGCATACTTTTACTGTATCTGTCCCTTCATGCTATAAAAGTTTTTATTAATCCAGTTTTTTGCCTTCAACATTAAAAAAACCTATAACTCTTACCCATCTTCATATTTTCCTTTTTTATACAACTTACAACTTTTTAAGTCTTCATTTATACGTTTCCTAGTATTTTAACTTATTCTCTATTTTAAAGTAATTCATAACTTAATAGTGGTTGCTAGCAATCTTGTTGAGGTTAGAATTTATATTTAAAATAATAGATTATATATTTTAAACTATAATTTCTAAACGATTAGAAATTAGAGTTTAAAAATATATAAATATATGCCAGTATTTAACAAAAAATAAACGTAAGCATAAAATTATAATATATTAAGTATTAAAATTTTTTTTCTTTTTAAGTATTTCAAATTTTTATCAGCTTTCAACCCCTGCTAAATCTTATAATTTTCCCGGGGCCGGGGCCGGGTTCGCGAAAAGTCTCATTTTTAGCTACGGCCGAGACCGGGGCCCCAATCACTTACTTGTCAAAATTGTACAAAACTTCAGACATAAATATTTTAATATATGTATTTTTTGAAAAAAATAATAGCTTTGTGCAAATTTGGAAAAAACAGTTTTTGCCACCCTTTTACAGAACCGTATGGGTATGCGAGAGGTTAGATTGCTTAGAGCGAAAATTTTTTGCATAATTTCGAAATATTTATATCTATACATATATAATATAAATTACATGTATAACATACATTAGTCTGAACTTTGGTTTTATTACTTCATTACTTATATATAAATTGTTATTGTATACATATAATTTTTGCTTCTGCGTCTCAATAAACATTTTTAGCTTCTGTATCAAATAGAAATGGGGGAGGTGATTTAAAAAACAGATTGTAGAAAGTAAATACTATTATTTTATTTGTATGTCACATGTATTCATTCATACATAATCTTTTTTCATTAATGTTTTTTGAAAGCTGCCTACTCAAATATTTAAATCTGTCTGTGGATATTTTTGACACTACAGTGACAGTTGAAAATGCACCTTGAAAACTATTTAAGACAGATTATCAACTTAGTTTATCATCTCTATTGAATCAACACTGAAAAACTCACTTAGTTATGATGATGTTATAAATGATTTCGCATTATCTGATGAAAAAATTATCAGATAAAATTGTTAAATACCAATTTTTTTAATTTATCTGATGCCTCAACGTTTAAACAATGTAATGTAGACAATGTATTTACTTGAATATTTTATGAATGTACAGCAGACTAAGGCAACAATAACTTTGACAAAATAATACCGTTACGAGTAAATATCTTGTGTGTAGTTATTTAGTTCTGTATGTCGGGTCTTTTAATGCACAAAACGGCTTTTAAAAAGTAGAAATATAAATTATAGGATAGGAATAAAAATACTGAGGGTTGAGCGACACTATGCAACACAGGACTGCAAACGCTGCCTAGTTTTCCTTTTTCTAAATAGTTAAATTTATAAAAAAAAGTAACGTGTTCAAAAAAAATAAAGTGTTCACGTCAACTTTTCTTGACCTCCCCCTCCCCCTTGTAAAAAAGTTCATACCCCTGCCTCCTTTTTTTGTTGACGTAATTAATGGACAGCCCCTAAGACAATATAATGTTACCATAGGCATTAAAGTAAATGTTTTAAATTTTGAATGTAATGAGGGAGAAACTGCTGACATTTTGTCACAACATCTATACAGGGTGGTTTCAAATTGTTTATATTTATTAAAATAAAAACAATTTGAAATCTAAAGTTTTTGCGAATACAAATTTAGGTAGGCGAAGACGAAAAGGAGTGAATAATGTCTATGTAAAATTACTAGATTTACTTCAAAAAAAACAACCAAAAAACAATTAGAAATTTGTTTAATGCACATATTTTGTCAAATACAATCAACACAGTACCATGTATCATTCTGATTGATGTTGGGGGTTGTCGTTAAATTACGTCACGGGTGAGGGAGGGGTTAGTAGTTTTGTGATGACTTGTTATTAAAGAGATAACGATTCAAAAGATTGAAAGTGATAATATATCTGCTACAGTCTTATTTTGAACGATTCTGTCCTTCAATATAAAATACCATTTAAAGCTATTTTTCTTCATTTAATGATTAAAAAAAAAAGTCAATGTTAGAATAAAAAAAGTCAATGTTATATCCGGGAGTAAAATGTATGATAAAGCCGTGCGGAACTTTTACCAAACACGCTCCCTATAAGTCGAAGAACATACATTATGTTCAATGTAGAAGAAACTAATATTACAAGAAATAATAGTTTTCAAAAGTGTTTTCGGAATTTACCTGAAGTTAATATGGTAGACGTTGAAAAGTGTGTTGAGTTTAATTGACAGCATGCCCGATATTAAAATTGATGACAATAGTCTGTATGGTGAAATAAGAAAAATAAATTTAAAAATTCAATTAAATTAGAATTACTAAAAAATGAACATGTTGGAATTTGTAAAAGATGGGTGGAAATATTTGATCATTTCAAAAATAAACTCCACATTAAATTCCACGTGAAAACTTAGCTATTCTTTTTGAATTTGTGGCTGCCCTGGTACTAATGCAGGAGTCGAAAAAGTTTTTTCAATAGGTAATGATTTCTGGACTGTAAAATTTATTACGAAAGAAATTTTGCTCTGAAATTTCTAATATATTGTTAGAAAACAATATATTGACAAAAAGTATTCACTCCAACGAAAAATACTCATTTAACTAGATATTTAACTTTAATTATTTTTTAAATTTAGGATTTTACCTGTCTAAAATAAATGAAAACACGATTAGTGTACTTTTATTTATTTTAATAAAATAATTTATTTACTTTGTACTTTAAAATTTTTTGTCCTTCTTTTCATGAAAATAAAAAACGGTCACCTTATAACAATAATAATAAAAATAGTAATAATAAAAGTTATAATAATTCATTTATGTATATAATCTCCGTATGGAACTTTATTTACTCTATAATGCTTCTTTATAAACACATTTTCTACTGAATAAAAAGAATTCAATGGTTTCTTTATACTTGTGTTGCTTTTTTTTTTAACGCGCGTATAAAAGGAATTTTTATCGCTTGAATAATATAATAAAAACTCGACAGATTATTTAAACCAGTTGGGAATTCATGTTTTAAAATCAAATGTTATTCTGTTATATTGATATAAAAAAGCCTTGTAAAAAAAAACCTAAAATTTAAATGAATGTTCCAGGTAAACATTTCACGATGACAAAAATAGTAATTGAAAATAGTTATCTTTTAATGTTATACAGTTTATAAAAAGTTAAAAATTTATTAATTTTTATTATTCAGTATGGTTACTAGCAATCTTGGTGTGCTTAAGTTTAATACTGATTACTGTGTGTTTTGTTGTTGGTTTCAATGTGACAAAAAATTGGCTTCACATGCAAAAGTACGAACGCATCCGTTCAAAGAGATGTAAAAATCACGCCCATCTTAAAGCGACATCTTTTTTATGTGGATACGAGAATACTTATAAATTAAATCCTCATCAAAATTTTCCGTTTCTTCCTATAACTTCTACAAACGTCATTCAAAAAGATAACTCCGTAAAATGGTTAGAGTCAAAGCAATCTACATCCACTACTTCCACTTTACATGCCAAAATCCCTCCTTTTAACAAATTTGAAAGAAGATTGCTTTTGAGTCACGCTGAAAGTTTTGATGAGCGTTCATTCCAAAGACTTCTTCATAAACAACATGTGCTAAGATCATCAGCGACTAACTTACGTCAAATAGAAAGTCCAAGTTCATATCGTAGTTTTGATGGAAGCACTGATAGTAGAGGAAATAGTTTAACAGTAAAGCACAATGCATTAGTTGACTTTGATACTTCGGAACAAACAGAAACAGTTTATCTTAACAACGGTTATTTAACAGAAAGCGACGAAATTCTCAAAAATGAACCACTTATAAGTTATGATCAAGATAGCTCTACTGTATTTAAATCAATAGAAAGAGGATCTCTTACATTTCTACTTGAGTACGATTCAAAGTTAGCAGAACTTTTAATTACTGTTAAAAATGCAATAGACTTACCTTCTGTGAGCGGAAAAGATCGCGTAAATAGCTATGTTAACATATGTATTGTTCCTGAAGACTTTTTATGGAAAAGAACGGAAGTTGTACCCAACAATTGTTGTCCAATATACAATACAACCTTTCGTATTACTGATGTTCTATATCATAAACTTCGAGAATATACGTTATGCTTCTATGTCATGGACGTTGACGTAACCATTGGTGAAACAGTTGTTGGAAAGGTTTTATATCCTCTCTCCGATCTTAGAATGGAGCAGATTGTTGAAGTACAGAAAGAGCTTTCATTACCTTAATTACTATAACAACCTTAATTACTATAAATATTAAACTTCATTACCTTAATAACTATAACGACGAATTACAAAAAAAATTAAAAATAGTTAAATATAATTACAAATAGAATTTCAAATTATTACAAAGTTAATAAAGAGACAAAGTAAAAATATTATGAAAAAAATTATTTTTTAGGTGCAATCTATCAGTCAATAAAAGTGAAACTTGTGAAGTGTATAAATTGTATAAAACTTATTAATATTTATAAATGTATTATGAGCTTAACTGTGGATAAAAATGTTTAAAAATGTATTTCAGTTTTTAGTTAAAAAATATCAAACAATTGTCATATCGTTTTTTAAATATGACGTTAAAAAATGATAACCAGATATAATTTAAAAATACATTTTTAACCAAATATATTTTACAATTTTTTATACTGGCAACGGGAGTATTTCTAGAAGATGATGAGGATCTTATCATGAAGCCCTTTACAAAATATGGTCAAATTTTGATAAAAATACTATGTCTGTAGAGAAATAGTAATACACTTTTTTTTTAAAAATTTAAAAAACTTTAATTTTATATTAAGATAAATTGTTAAAACAAAAAAACGAAAAAATAAATAAATTAAGATATTTTTAAGTAAAAATATAATTTTTTTTAAGTTTTTGTTTGTTCAAATGTCGTTCAGTAATAAAGATTCTATAGACAGAAAAAAATTTTTGGTAATGAATAAGATGAGGTTTAAAGATGGCAAAGGTGATCCACAGGGATTTGTAATTTTTTTTAGACAATAAAAAACTCCCTAGCTGTATCATCCCTAGATAACCAGAAAACCGTCTTTATATTCTTTTTCGTGCTTGCTTTATTTTTATTAAACACTATGCTGATTTTCTACATTTTCTGATCACTGAAACATTAAAATGTGGTAGTTCACAAGCTGCTCTGTGAGCAGCATTTTTTAGATAAATGCTATCGCTCCCAATGATGTTGAACTTCAATTCATCGCCGAACAGGACAGTTCGCCATTTCTGCACATTCCAGTCAATATGAGATGTAGCAAGCAGGATTCTTTTCTTTTGGTTCTTTAGTGAAATCAGCGGTTTCTTTGCAGGGCGTTGAGAAAACAATCCGGCTTCAACAGCACGTTGTCTGATTGTTTGGTCCGATACAGGCAGCTCTAATTGCTTTTTTATCTCGACTGATGATATCCAGACATCCTTCTTGACGGATCTGACAATCATAGAATCCTCTCTAGAAGTGGTGGAACGCGGTCTTCCACCTTTGTTATCTGCTGCCAACTTCCCCGTAGAACATATTTGAAACATAGTCTTGATACAGTCCATTTTTTTACGCGATATTTATCACAAATACTTTTTTGTGACATTCCACTTGCGTAATCGCCAATAACTTTTTTTCTTAGTTCCAATCCAAGACTATAGGGAGCTATTTTTGCACTTGAAGTCATAAAAATAATAAAAATAAATAATCACGCTTCCCAAGGCTTACCATGTTACATTTACCTTGTGATGATACAATAATGCTCTGTGGAACACAATGTCTTGGTTGAATGTGGGGTGTATTGATGTAAAGAAACACTTGTTGTATTTCACTTCTTGTATTGATATTCTTCGATAAAACATTTTGATAAAACTCACTTCGATACTTCTAGATGCTTCTGAATGCTTCCAGATGCTTCTTCTGGAAACTTCTGGAAACTTCTGCATGATTCTGGAAACTTCTGAAAACTTCTGGATACTTCCTTTAGTTATTAAAAAACTTCCGTGACGTTGACACGAACCAGACAAACAAACCTTTTGGTTTGTTTCATTTTCCTTAAGAAAATGAAACAAACCAAAAAAGTTGCACTTGTTTTGTCCGCTGCGAAATGGCACTTGTCAACGAAATTCTGCCTGTGTGCTGTCAGCTGATTGCTCATGTCATGGCATGCTATGACTCCCAGACTCCTGAACTGTTTACTGTGGTAGTATAGTTCATTTCGTTTTTAAGACATGTAAAATTAGGAACACTTTTTAGCATTGTTCGATGTTGGTTGCTTTTTTTGTCCAATACTGTAGTTAAGTAGTCTATTTCCACAGTACATAAAGAAAGAAAGAGAAATCGCATACAAAATGCTCAAGTTCGATCTGTTATTTATAAAAGGCAGACTTGCAAGCATCAAATTTAAATAAAAAAGAAAAAAATTTCAGCCAGATTAAGAATTTGTATAAACAATTGTCTATAAAACAACTGGATGATTTAGATTATGTTATGTCTCAGAAAATTGTTGGTAGAAAATTATGCCATGAATGGTATGATACTCAACAATCTAAGCATGTCATATAAGATGGTAGAGTTGAAAAATTAAAAAAAAAGTTGTCAAATAGATTTTACAATACTTCTTAATAGAAAATAAAAACTGATTCTAAAGCTGTTGATTATTGCATGAAAAATTCCAGCTCGCTGCAGATGTTGTATCAGGAGAATTAATTTTTTTTAATGTTAATGTGTATTATTTGTGTTGAATGTTAATATGTATTGTTTTCATAATTGTAATGCTTATTAATGCCAAAATGCAACTGCAAATGTTATGGCTTGTATAAAAATGATCTGCAAAAACGTAACCAGCAAGTGTTTTAATATCTGTTTATACTTATATTTTCACGTTTGAAAATATTTTGAAAACTTTTTTTTAAAGTAAGGAGAAGGGGGGGGGGAACAGCAAGCGCACGCCTCTCCCTTTAAGTCAGATTATACACCACTAACCACTAGTTGTAAAGTACAAAGTATAAATTTTATTTTTCATGTTAGATTTACTTATTTTATTGGAGATAAAAATTGTATTTTTAAAGTGAATTATTTTTGATAATAGTATGTGTTAGACAATCACCACCACATCCACCCTTAACTCAAAGGTCACCTTTCATATTTGGTTGTGGTCTGCAAATACAAGGAACTTCTGTATCATAGAAGACACTTTACATTAATAAAATACTTTGTTATAAAATAATGTTCTATTTTTTAGGAGTAAAAGTCGTATTTCGGGGGCCTCCTCTAGCCGCCCGCCCATACCCTACGGTTAGATGCTACTCTAAATTTGCAGCCCACACCTACATCTATCTTTTGATACCAAGTTATAAACATTTTGACAAGAATTAGCAAAGTTATAACAATATGCGTTAAAAAAAAATTTAAGGAGATAAATCGTTTTGCATTAAAATTCGATATCTTTATATAAATTAAAAAAAAAAGATATTTAATTTTATCATTATGAATTTTTTTAACAAATATTTCTATATTTAACTCATGACTATATATATATATATATATATATATATATATATATATATATATATATATATATATATATATATATATATATATATATATATATATATATATATATATATATATATATATATATATATATATATATATATATATATATATATATATATATATTTATATATATATATATATATATATATTCCATATAACTCCATCTAATATAATAAAACAAAAAAAACAACCTAATAAAAACAAAGTTTATTTAAAAAAAGAAATTTTAGTAAGAGGTTTTAGTCTATAAAAAGTTAATAAGAAGTTATTAGAAGAGTGTTTTCTTATAAATAAGAGTTTAGTCTAAAATTTAAATTTTTAATTCTTTTTTAAAAAAACTCTTCATCTTCTTTATCAAACAAATAAAAAAAACCATCCTCACTTTCAACTAGATGAGCTTGTTTAATTTTCATGTCTTTTCTTATAAAGTCAAATCAAAAAACAATAAATCAAACTATTTGGCAAAATAAATCTTATTCCTTTTCTACTAAGGTCAACTTTAAAAAAATTGACCGATTAGATGCTACATTCAACATCTTTAATGATAACAATCAATTGTGATTTTTGGAAATGATTTTTTACAATATCAGTTTCATCAATGCGATATTTTTTAACTTTCTTGTTTTTTTGCAATTATCATGTTGCATATCTTTTAGCATGTCTATTACTATATTAGATGTGTTAAGTTTTGTTTTGCTCTTAACATTTAACTCAGACAATCTTAATTTTGGACAGTCTTTATTTAAAGGATATATGCTACACTTTTTGAAACCAGAAATTAAGTTTTTTTATAGATATTGTCTGGTGACATTTTTTCCATTAACTGAGACAAAAGATGAGGAAAAGCTGATTTTGGTAAAGTTTTCTGTCTCCTTCTGTCGTGTTTTTTCCACTCAGTAAAGATCAACCTCCAATAATGCTTTAAGGGAGCAAAAAATCATCTAATGGTTGCAGGAGTTGAGAGGTTTTAGGTGGAAGACATATGGACATGATATCATATTCTTCATAGACATGTAGCATTTTCGGAGGTATGTGACGATAAGTTGTCACCAATTACAATTTAATTTCCTTCTTTGTATTGTATATATGAAACAATAATTTTAAAAAATCAATCTTCAAAATAAAAAGTATCAAATCATCCATTTTTACTTCGGTTATAAATATTTTTATGAGGTTCACCTTCCATCTAAGTATCCCACAAATGTTCTGATATATAAACAACATAAATGGGTAAAATAGTACTAGTAGCAGTTCCAGCAAACATTAAACTTTTTGAGGTTTTAGAACTGTTTAAAACTCTTTATGGGTACTTTGTACCTTTTTTAAGTAGGGGAAAGCTGGGCAACATGGCGAACGTTTTGAAAGCCTTGAGTTATTGCAAAACTATCAGTTGTGAAGCAATAATACCTTCTCAGTATGTTTATGTTATTAAGATGATTCATTGCCAGCATGAGTTTTCAGTTTGCAAATATAACAATTTGAAATAAATATTAAAGTAAAAAGCAGTCAGATGAACTATACTAGTCTGAGTCTGATTTGTCATCTAGTCACGTGACCGGGGTAAGATGACTTATTATGCAATTTTTGCTTCCAATTTTATAAAATTTTAAAAATTACCAATAACTCTAACTAAAGTAACACAAAATAAACACATGTTGCAAAAAACTACTTCTAAAGAAGTTAAACTTGAAGGATCTTCATCCATTATAAGAACCTGAAACTGAGGAATTTTTTTTAAGCGCAAAAAGTAAACTTATACTTATAAAATTGCGTTAATTTAAAAAAACCAGTTAGTGTTTTAAAATACAAAATGCAAATAAAGTTTCGTTTTCACCCTATTTTAAGATTTTTTATTGAGTTGTTATATGAAAACCCATCTTGCCCCATTCGTCATGTTGCCCCGCTTTCCCCTATATATTTTTTGGCTCCAGGATCATCACTCAGGTTTGTCTCATCATAGTTGATGATGCAGTCAGGTGAAACATTTGTCATATTTTTTTAAGATT